TGTCCTTGTTTCTAATGCTTCTGTGGAGGGAAAAATATGTCACACAATAAAAAACTTAGAGGAAAAAAACTAAATGGAAAAAATTAATAGAGGCCAAGTTCCTGAAGCCAGCAAGGCAATCCCAGAGACCAGCAGCAGATGGAGTTAGAGTCATTGACTAAGGAATTTATCAAAATGACCACGCAGGCATGTTTGACTAAATGTAGTTACAGCTACAGAAAATATTCCCTGCCAGCAACTGTGTACGTGGCGGGTCCCTAGCTGAGTATGTGCACACATGCTGGCTGTCTACACCCTTTCCTCCTCCATGTACAGCAGAATCGAGTGACAGAGGGCCCCAGAAACAAACACCAGCCACAAACTGATGGGAGAGAGGACAAGTTTAACAAATTTTCTGCTCCCTACACTTTCTCTGCCCCGTGGGATGCTGGGAGTAGGAGCTGCCACTCCAAGTTGGGCTAATGGGTAGGGCCAATGCTGAATTCTGTCTTTCCCTAGCACTCCTGATTCTGGGTCTTTTCAGTATGCTGAGAAAATATTAAGTTAGTGACTTGATTCAGGAGAGTGAGACTGGAGAAGAAAATATTCATGAAATTAGTTCTGTAAAGAACTCGCTTAGTCTTCTGGAAATATAGATATCAATATACGTAGACACAGCTTGAGAGTCATAGCTTAGGACAAGCGAATCTAATGTTGAGGGTTGACTTTGTAATTATTCTTTACAGAGAAGAGAGTTTCCTAATTGTCCGAGTGATGTGAAGGAAGGAAGAGAAAGTGGCAAATGGTAATATTGCAGATTAGAAGAAAGTCCAGTCTGTACTAAGAGGGATGCGCAATAAGATAGAGATGATGGGGAAGAGAGCAGGTACCAGACATCTCATGAGGGAATGTACTGCCGTACCGCTAAGAGAGACCCAGACACCATGAAGGCCTCTACATGGGTTCTGGGGACCTAAACTCTGGCACTTAATCACAGAGCCATCTCCTTGCCCTAGGTGTCAATTTCTTTATAGAAATGTTTTAATCTAAGTTCCTAGGAGGTTCTCCACATTCCAAGTCAGTATAACATCTGACACATGGCCTTTGGGTCCTGAGGCAATGAATGCACAATCTAATAGGGTCATTGTGACGTGCAGGGACCCAAATCCCCAGCAGAGGTCAATGAAATCATGCCTGAAAATGCAGCACAATCCCATTGCTGGAATCATCCTGAAAATGCAGCACTATCCCACCTCTGGAATCATCCTGAAAATGCAGCACTATCCCATCGCTGGAATCATCCTGAAAATGCAGTACAATCCCATTTCTGGAATCCTGAAAATGCAGCACTATTCCATTGCTGGAATCCTGTATTTCTCCAAAACCGGCTCTCTACTTAGATTTCTTTTCCTGTACCTAAAATAGACTTGACTGTAGCATGAATCTTAAAAGTTCTTATTAATAAAATCAACCCCGAGGCCAGTTATTGGGGTGAAATGTTGGATGGTCAGAGAGACAGAACAAGCCACAGCTAACCTCACCTGGCCAACTTCTCAGCTGGTCTTATTTCCTCAGACTGGATGATTCTGAGTCCTCATTCCAATGGCTCTCAACTGAACTGTGCTGCTCAAAAGCCTGAAAGCTTAACCAGCCAAATGCTTAACCAGGCTAAAAGCTTCTAGTTTCTGGTCCTCACGCCTCATATGCCTTTCTGCTTTCTACTATCACTCCCTGGGATTAAAGGCTCACTTTCTGGGATTAAAGGAGTGATGAGTCACCATGCCTGTCTGTATCCTTGAACATATGGATTTCTGCCTCTGGAATGCTAGGATTAAAGGCGTGTGCTACCACTGCCTATCCTTTATGTTTAATATTGTGGCTGTTCTGTCTCTGACCCCAGATAAGTTTATTAGCATGCACAATATTTGAGGGAACACAATACTACACTTGACACGTTTAGCACTTGGCATTAACCTTTATTGGATGGTGGCTGACTGGTTACAGAAAGTATCTATATATTGCATTTTGTAAAACATTTCTAGTTGCATCTTTTAATTCTCTTTCCAGGTTATTCATCCACTCATTCAACAAATATGCATTCAGCCATAACCACATGCAACCAGTGTTTCAAATCCTGGAATATGCTTAGGAACACATTGTCAATAAATATCCTGTTCTCTTCATGATGCTTACGTCACACCACAAAAGAACAAATAAGTTAGTAATTAAATAAAATTTCATAAATAAGAGTTTAGTATGGTGTACTGAGAGCTGATATATACTGATATGTACTATGTGGGGTAAGCAAGCCTCATGAGCCTGGTGAAGGGGAACTGGGAAGGTGTGCTGTGGGGGTGTGGAGAGAGGAGGTCTTCAGTGAGAAGACTTAGAGGGGGTTTATCAGAGAGGAGGACACAGATAAAGAGGTCCTGGGAAAGGAGAGTTGCAAGCAGCAATTACAGCTGGGGAGAAGCCCTGTGTGGGAAGTACTTGGTTGGATGTAGAAGAGGCCCTGTGTGGGAAGTACTTGGTTGGATGTAAGGAGAAGTCCTGTGATGGGAAGTACTTGGTTGGACATAGGAGAAGTCCTGTGTGGGAAGTACTTGGTTGGACATAGGAGAAGTCCTGTGTGGGAAGTACTTGGTTGGACATAGGAGAAGTCCTGTCTGGGAAGTACTTGGTTGGATGTAAGGAGAAGCCCTGTGGTGGGAAGTACTTGGTTGGATGTAGGAGAGGCCCTGTGGTGGGAAGTACTTGGTTGGCTATAGATCCACCATGGAGGCAAGGTAGCTGGAGCAGAATGAAAAGGGAGCTCACGAGGGAGGAAGACAGAATCAGAGGAAGGACCAGGCTCAGGTCTTGAAGGCCCAAGAGCTCACCTTGAAGGGTGAAGTTTTCACTGGACTTTAACTCTACCGAGAGGGTCAGTGCAGTGGCAGCCCTGTCTGGGGTCTGAGAGGATGTGCTGAAGAAGAATGCAGGTGGGGCAGGATCAGCTGGGAGACCGCAGAGAGATGAGTACGATAATGCAGAAGGGTGGGCGTGAAAGTGCAGGCTGAGATTGCCACAGCTAGGGGTCAAGACTGGCTGGACTCTCAGCCCCTTAGAAGCAGAGCCACACCCTCACTGCTGAGGGACTAGAGGTGAACAGCGGGATCAAGAACTCGGTAAAGGAGTTGCCTCATCTGAACAACTGAAGGAAAGATGCTGCCATGTACAAGATATGAGACTTTTCTTCTGCTCTTAGTTAGAGGGTGATTGTACTGTGGCAGGGTCTGGGGCTAAGTTTTAGATGGGCTGGGTTTTAAATGCCTGTAGAGTTCAAGTCCACGGTTAAATATGAAAAGGTGTTGTTTGGGAGAAAGGGTAGGGAAAGTGGGGAAACAGGGGTCCATTTAGAGGGTTTTACAGCCAGTGGGTTAGAGTTCCAGAGAGGATGTTGAGAACATTTTAGGGGGTGGAAAGGCAGGAGAAGAATCGAAGTAGGAGATGCAAGATTTGATATCTCAGAATACAGAGGAAGAATTCTTTAATAACTCATGTTAGGTTAGTGACTGACATCTTACTAGCAGGCACTGTGAGATGCCAAAACTCAGAGTTTTTGGGACACACCAGAGACAGGAATTAGGGTCTCCATGGCAGGAAGGGTGGTCCTGGGACTCAGATGTATCCATTGTTTCAGTCCCAACAAGATGATTTCCATGTCCCTGTGAGTGGTTGGAGATCCCATGGGAAATGTCATCTCGGGCCAATCATTGATCCAGGCTCTATTGATGGGTTAAAGCCCCTCTGTTCCTCCCAGATCATGCACTAAGATGGCTTGTACGGTGTGTGAACTATACACAGACATGTGTGAAGACCTGTCATTTCCTATCTGAAAATGAGAGACAGAGCAGAGAAGTATCTGCGTATGACCAATTAAAAAAAAATCTAGAAAGAAAGCTGTATCAATAACATGATTAAAAGTAATACTATGGGCCATAAAAATATCCACAGAAAAGGCAAAATATCTTGAATTTTAAAGTAAGGTTGAAGAGGAAGATAAAATTTTTTGGTGGAATATTCAGATAAAGAAAACTGGATTTGTCAATAATTCCTATAGGGCTGTCATTTCAGAACATGACATTTTAACATTTAACACTTATTTATCAGACGCAGATACAGAGAGGAGTGAGAGCAAGTGAGCCTCCACTGACCTTTAAGGGCTTTGTTAGAAAGACAGAGAATATACGTGAAAAATAAGTTAAATATCATTATCATCTCATCACCCTCCTTACACGGTATTTAAATAAGACTTAAATTCTGGCCACTCTCCAGTGATAACCTCACAAATCTCCATCAACTTCGAGGGTGTCATCAGTGTCCCTGCTTTAAGATTCATCCCAGAAGCTGAGTCTGGGTGAGAAAGGATGTTATTTATTGAAGTCTTAAGAACCAGTGTCAGGAGAAGAGGTAGAAAGAAAGCACATGCTGTTTCCTTCCCGGAGAGATCTGTCCCTGTGAGTGGATGGAGCTTGAATGGACAGTCAGCTTTCACTCCAGTTCCCACCTACTCATTACTAGCTCCCAAAAGAAAAAAAACCCCAAACTTCTGAGAAATCCCTGCCTGTTTAGGTACTGAGGGTTGAGTTCAGGGTGTAGAGCAAGACAGCCGAGTGCTTTATAACTAAGCTACATTCTCTGACTCTTTTTTTGAGGTTGAACCTTGCTATGGAGCCCACACTAGCCTCAAAGTTCTGCTTCTGCCTCCCCGGTGCTAGTATTACAGGCATGCACCACCACCAATGCCAGAGCACAGGTTTCCTTTAGAAACAATTAACCCAGGGGCCAGAGAAATTGCTCAGCAGTTAAGAGCACTTGCTACTCTTACAGAGGACCAGGGTTGGTTCCCAGAAGCCACATGGTGGCTCACCACCATTCATAACTCCAGCTCAAGGAGATCTGAATTCCTCTTCTGACCTCCCTGGGCACTGCACACACGTGGTGCACAAGCATACATGGGATCGGAACACCCATACACATAAAACAAGCAAATCTTAAAAAAAAACATTTAAAATATTTTAAAATAAACACTGAATCCAAAGACAAAAGGGGAGGTCTAGGAATCAGTGATGTTGGATTTAGAGTAATGAACTTCAAAATAATTGAGAACTGCTTCCAAAATAAAGAGTTCGGGGGCTGGAAAGATGGCTCAGTGGTTAAAACTTCTTGCTGCTCTGGAGGACCGGAGTTCCGTTCCCAGCACCCATGCTGGGCAGCTCACAACTGACCGTAATGCCAGCTGCAGGGATCTGACGCCCTCTTCTGGGCTCTGCCGGCACTTGCACTGATGTAGCACACACACACACACACACACACACACACACACACACACACACACACACAGAGGCATATATGCATATATACATAAAAATAAAATCTTAAAAAAACAGAAAAGATGGAAAGTAATCGACTGTAGTGCTAGGAAATGCAAACATAGAAAGGAATGATTCTGAACCTATTAATCTAGAAGGAACTGTAGACTAAGTAGGATGACACATCCAACGAAAGAGAGAGAATGAAATCAAGAAAGGAAAAGCAGAAAAGATTCAGAATTATGGGTCTCACTGGAATAATATCAGTTGATTTTGAAGCAATCTCATTTCTCAGCCAAGCATCGTGGCACATACCTGCGCCCAGGACACTGAGGCAAGAGTTGGGGGAGAACCTTGGCTAGACAGGAAGACTGTGTCTCAAAAACAAAACAAACAGAAACAAGTAGAATTGATACTTCTACATCCCATTATGCAGCATGTTGAGGATGAAAGGACAATCTCATGTAATTCTAGCTTATTACTGTGAAAATGCACCAAGGGAAGACGAGACATCTGGCAGCGGAGTTTGATGAGCCTGCCGCCTTTTCGAAGTCATTCACTGCACATGGTTCCTCAGCACGTGAACCACCAGGGATCTACTCCTTAGCCCCCATGGGAGAGTTTCCACAGAACAGGCCTGCAGAGCTGGCATTGGTGTGGCTTGTTGAAGCAGGGCACAGCCATGCTCCCCATCCGTCCAGGACCACTGTGAAGCACAGCACTTCCGGATGGTTTCAGTGTTCCTCACTTCTAACAGCAGCAGCGAGATCAAGGAGACCCCTGGGGGTCCAGTTTCCAGGCCCTGCTTCTGCCATGGGTGGTAAGATAAGAGGGGTCGTGTCACAGACAAAAAAGTAGGGCCTGAGAATGCCGGAGAAGAGATGGCTGAATGTGTAGATGTAAGACCCGTTTGTGATGTTGTAGAAGGAGATTTCGCCTGCTTCGTAGTCCAGAAAGATCCCGATGCGGCGAGGTCGTTCATCTTGGAGCACAGGCACGGAGGGAGAGGCCAGGACCATGTACTCGCTTCCCCTCAGCAGCCACATGGCCCAGACGCCGTTCTCTGGAGATGGTGTGGTTTCCCCCTTTCTGGGCAGCGAGTCTTGGCATACCCCTAGCCCCCACTCTGCCTTTTCCCCCACGATGACTTCCCAGTAGTGTCTTCCAGAGGAGAAGCCCTGCAGGCCCAGGATGCAGGGCCAGATATCAAAGCGTTCAGGGTTACTTGGGACGTCCCTCCAGACCTCAGCGTCCTGCACACTGCGTAGGTCGGCCGTCAGGAGCAGGCTGGGGTGCGCAGTGGCGGGATCCAGCTTCACGTCCACTGTGGAGGTGTGCCAAGTGTGAGAATGAGCAGAAAGATCTAGCAGAACTTTATCTCTCTCTCCCCCTTTTCTCCCTCCCTCCCTCCCTCTCTCCTTTTCTCCCTTCCTTCATTTATTCTACTGTGCTGAGGATGGACATACTACCACTGAGCTTCCGTTCCAGCTGACGAAAACTCAGGCACCACTAAGAACCCTCAAACAGTTTCTCATTTCTCTCACCCAGAAAAACTGGGCCTGGCAAAAGCCTTGATTTGGGCCTCACAGAACTCTGCTGGACACAGTGGGACTTCTATTGCCCAATGACACGGTTTAAACCCACTGCTTTGTGTGCAAAGGAAAAACGAAATAAAAAGGAAGATACCAGAATGTGTGGCCTCCAGGCGGCTAACTACATAGAGATTCCTGGAAGGAGGAGTTTGGTGTGGGAAGCAGTAGGGATGGGGCAGAAGCTGAACCTCTTCTCCTTGCTCCCTATCCATCATTTCTGTCTGCCTGTCCCTCTGTACCATCCAAAACTCCTTCACAGTAAATGGCCGAGTGGTGTTCCCCTGTGTTCTGTAAGCAGGCCTCTGAAATTAATTGTAATAATTGACCCAGAGAAGGGGAGTCCGAAGAAACCCTCCTGACAGCTGATCAGTCAGAAGAACAGGCCAGGACCCGCCCACTGCACTGCCATCCTACCAGCTGTTTAAAGACGAGTCAACATCTATACTCCCCAGACAGTTCTACAAATAGAAAGGGAAAGGATGCTACCAAACTCATCCTATGGAGCCAGAATCACCCTAATACCAAACCCAGAGAAGGGCACAATGGAAAATAACAAATCTCTCTGATAAAAATGGATGCAGAGAATTTCAGAAAATACTTCCAAACCAAATTTAAGAACACATGAAGAATGCCATATTCCATTGCCATGTTGGTTTCATTCTAGCTATGAAAAACATGGTTCAGTGTACACGAATCAGTACTGAGTAACCCGGTTGTAAGGCATTTTCTTAATTAGTGGTTGGTGGGGGAGGGTCCAGCCCATTGTGGATGGTGCCATCCCTGAGCTGGTAGTTCTGAGTTCTATAAGAAAGCAGACTGAGCAAGTCAGTAAGCAACACCCCTCCATGACCTCTGCATCAGCTGCTGTCTCCAGGTTCCTGTCCCGCCTGAGTTTCTGTCCTGATTTCTTTTGATGGTGAACTGTGATGGGGAAGCATAAGCTGAATAAACTCTTTCCTCCCCAACTTGCTTTTGGCCATGAATTTGGTCACAGCGATAGTAACCTCAACTAAGACACCAACACATAAATAAACCAAAGGGCAGGAATCACATGATCATCTCAACAGATACAGAAAAGACCTTTAATGATGCTGAATATCCATCCCTTCTTGATACCTCAACATAATAAAGGTTATAGAAGATAAACATAGCCTTTCCTTTAAAGTCAGGGATGAGACAAGAAAACACACAGTCCTCACTGTGTGGTGCTTGAAGTCTTAGCCAGAGCAATAAGGCAAGATAAAAAAATAAGAGAACAAAGTTGAAGAAAGAAATTAAATTTTTTCCTACTTACAGATATAAGTATAATTATATACTTAAAAGACCCTCAGGACTTCACCAGAAAACTTTAGACATGATAAACACTTTCAGCAAAACAGTGGGCTACAATACATACATCAAATATCAGAATCTTCTCTGTCTACAAACAATGATCTTGATGAGGGAGAAAGAAAAATACCATCCATGATAGCTTCTAAAAAGCCAAAATAAAACAAAAAATAACAATAAAAGTCCCCCCAAAACTCCAGGAATGGACCTACCTAGGGAGGGGGAGAGCTTCTACAAAGAAAACATTAACACACCGAGGGAAGAAATCAAAAGACACCACCAGAAGATGGAAAGACTTCCCTGTCCACAGACTGGCAGAATTATTATTATGAAATGGTTATGCTACTTAAGGCAGCCTGCAGATTACAATGATCCCCATCAAAATTCCAATAGAAATCTTAGAAAGAGGAAAATCAATCCTAAAATTCATATGGAAGCAAGCAGATAGGACCCAGAGAACTCAAAGCAATCCTGAGCAGAAAGAGTAAGTGTCATAATACCTGGCCTCAAATTTTACCACAGAGCCATAGTGACAAATCAATCTAGTTTTGATACAAAACCAGATTTGTAGAGCAGTGGAATAGAAGAGAGGACCCAGGTGTAAAACCATACAGCTACAACCAAATGAATCTCAACAAAAATGCCAGAATCGTGCATTGTGGGGATAAAGAGTCTTTTCAGCAAGTGGTGTTGGGAAACTGGATATCATATTCCCATGCATAAGAATGAAGCTAGATGGTTATCATTCAGCTAACACAAAGATTAACTCAAAATAAATCATAAACCTTAATAGAAGACCTAGAGCTATGAAAGTAGTAATGGGAAATATCTATCATCTATCCAGATATAGGACAAAAAGCAAAAACAAAGTGGTATTTGAGTGAGGGACAGAGACAGACAGGAGGTAAGGGGGCCACAGAGGGTGATGGGGTTGAGTATGAGCAAAGTACAATGATGCACATATATGAAAATGTCATAAGGAACCCACTCCTGGGGACAGAAAGATGGCTCAGTGGTTAAGAGCACAGGGTGCTCTTGTAGAGAATCTGGGGTTTTGTTCTCAGCACCCACGATGTGTCTCATGACCATCTATAACTCCAGGTGCGGGAGATCTGATGTCCTCTTCTGGTCTCTAAGGGCACTGAACACACATGGCGCAGGCAAAACAACTCATATGGAAAATAAGAATAGAAATCACTTTCAGAAGAAACAAAGTCATTGCTTTGTATGCTTACCAAAACAAAACAAAACAAAACAAAACAAAACAAAACAAAACAAAACAAAACAAAACAAAACCAAAACAAAACCCTTACAAATGGAGGCCACAACCTACATGGGAGGGGGTTGTCAGCCTTGTGGGGTGGACTGTCATCCTGATTCCATCTCTGGGCTGATCTTGTCATAAAGGGAATTGGGTTAGATTCCTAGTTGGGGAACCCACTGGGGCACTGGTTAAGTGTTGGAGGGAAGAGTCTAACACATTTCGGTGACCAAAGGCTCTGGAGTCAGTGAGAGAATGGGGGGTGGGGAGAAAAGATAATTTTTGCTTTATTTGTCCTTATCCCTGATGAGAAGCACCAAGGCAGAGGTGAAGCTCTGGGACCCACAGACCACTCATGATAGCACGCTCTCAAATAAGTCTTGGCTGACTTTTACCTCTAGGATTTGGGGCTCTGATTGTTACCACTGCGTGACATCCACAGAGTCAGCTGCACTGAGAGCCTGGCCCAGACGTCAAGGTTCTGTCTACAAGTGCAACCATGCTTCAGATAAGAATAGGACAGAAGCCTGGGAGCCAGAGAGGAGAAGATGCATCTAACAGCCGAGTCTGTGCACACTCACGCACACCTTAGTCTTAGTTTATGTTTTCTACACATTGTGAGACTTTTACAGGTGACACGGAGAGAGATTGGGAGGTTTTTCTTTCCCCAGTTCTGGCCCAAACTAACTTCCTTAGACCTGTTTCTGCCTCTCCCTCTTGTTGTGAAGGGGAGCGTGGTGGACCCGATGCCTACCTTGGAATTTCTTCAGCATCTCCCTCATCCCGGGGATGCGGCACACCGTCTTCAGCTCCAAGGGGATGGCCTCTGGTTCCAGCCGTGCGACAGCTTTGCTTCTGGAAGTATGCAGAGCCCACAGGTGTCAGTGTGGTCAGCAGGGGCCCATCTCCCCCACACCAGCCACCCCACACTGATTCAGCAATGAAACATACCGGGTCAAGACTCCTCTTACTCCCTGGAAAGGAAAGACACACAGGGATGAGTCAGGCCTCTGACTTCTTTCTGAAGTCAAGCTGGATGCACAGTAAAGATGTCAGCAGAAATATTTGAAAGTTGCTAACGCCTAAGATGAAACTTCAGGGGAAAATGAACCCCTGCTCTTTACAGGAAAACAAAGACTTTAAACAATCAAACGTCTAGGTGACAAGATCAGTCACCATCAGAACAGAATCATGCTGCACACAGTTTACATCCATTCCCCCCAAATCCATCAGTTTAGCTGTTTAGTTTTCAGAATAGACAATTCTGTCAATTGGCTCTTTTGGTAGAGTTACACCCTGTACTTAATGAAGATGGAATTAGGGGGAAGACATCAAATATCTGAAGAATTTATTTGAGGTGAACACACACAAATGCCACCCTTAATGCCTTTGCAAGGGAATACCAAATGTCTAATTCTTATCTATCACACCAAAGCTGATCATTTGATCTACACTGATAAGAAAGGAAGCCATTAATATCTGGCAGCACTTTCTCTTTTAAAAGAAATATATATTATATATATGTATATATTTGTGTGTATGTGTTTATATATGCATATGAATCACCTAAAATCTAGTTAACATACAACTTTTTGTAAACACTCAATTGTTTAGTGTGCATCATTAAGTTTTGGTGTTAGTGTGAGCTACCTGGTTCTCTAAGGTTCTACTCGGATTCTCATGCCTTCTGCATCAGTTCTAAGTTGGTCTACTGAGAGCAAGCATGCCAAGCATGGCTGGGTGCTGGTAACCAGATGACAAGATCTCACCTCTGTCCCTTAGCCTCACATCTGCTTTCCCCCCCCCCCGCCCCGCCCCCCACCCGGTTCTCCAGAGCTTGCCTCACCTCCAGCAGTCCCAGGGCTGGCCGCTGGCTCCTCTCCTGTAGCTCTTCAGCCAGCTCCTTCAGGGCCTTGTTCTGTTGGACCAGCCTGTTCCGACAGTCACGCAGCCTCTGCAGGGTTGCTCGCTCCTCCTCTTCCAGCCGCCTCAGCTGCAGCTGTTCCTCCTGGGCCAGAAAACCCCTGTGTTTCTCAAACTCCAGCCTGAAACGCTGTCTCTGCGTCTCCACTTTCTCCTGGGGAGACACGGCAAACTGGGTCATGGAGGATGTTTTGAGGCGTCAATTGGGGATTCCTGATTTCAAGTGTGGATAGTCGAGAGTGTGGACGCATGCCCAAAGTTGTCTCTGCTTTCCCTGGAACTGACTTTTGGCTGTATTCTCACAGCATGCATGGGCCCGAGACATTGGTATGGGGGCTGGGGGGCTGGAACAGCAACAATCTGAGAAAGGCCACTGGACTCGGGATCTCAATTAGACATGAATTTGAAGGCAAGCATTTCTAGACACAAGCTTCAGTACCATATGTAAAACAGAACAGAAATGTGGGGTGGGGTGGGAGGTCAATGACCCTTGGTCCAGCTGTGAACAGTGTCCAGCCATCACACAATACTAGTTACTGTTTATTCTACCAGCCACTGTATCTACTAAAAACAACAGAGAGATTATAGAAACCTGGATTTGTAACTGTGAAAAGCTTGAGAGTAAAAACAGATATTCTCTTTAGTGTGTGTGTGTGTGTGTGTGTGTGTGTGTGTGTGTGTGTGTGTGTAGAGGTGTGTTCACCTGTGGGTGCATATGCAGAGGCCAGAGATTTGCTTTAGGTATCTACCTCCATTGTTCTCCACCTCCACCTCCTTTTTAATGACAGGCTTTCTCCCTGAACCCTGTGCTCATTGTTTAGGTTAGGCTGGCCAGCAACCCCCAGGAATCTGCCCATCTTTGCTCCCCCAACCCCAACACTGAGGTCACAGGAATGCTTTGCCACCTCAAACTTTTGATGTGAGTGCTGGGGATCCAAATTTGGGTCCACATGGCTGTATAACAAGCACTTTAGCCCTTGAACCCCAGCCTCTAAATGTTCTTCTCTACAAGGTAATGGTGGCTAACATTTTCTGTACAGTCAAGAAGGAGCTAAGTGTCCCTCAGGCACTGGCTTGCACATTAGATTCAGATTATTATCCTGGTTTCCACTTTTAACGTCTACAACTCCTAAAGAGGTTCAAGGAATAGATTTCATTATGGGTTACTGTATCTCAGTTTGGTTCTCACAAAATTAGTATTTAGGAAACCAGCTGTAAAGCAAGGGTAAGCGGCAAATTATCCCCCAGAGCATCTACCTCCTGCATTCTCTGCCGTTTCTAATGTTCATAATTTCCTGGTTTCACTGAAGGACAGGATACTTTTTTTTTTTTTTAGAACCAGCTGTATTAACAGTTCTCTCTCTTAAGACAACAGCTTCCTCCCGTTTCCATCCCCTCCTTTTCACCATTTATAAATCACTACATTCACATGGTCATGGCCACTTCCTAAAACCAAGTAAATTGGAATTTCATGCCCTGATTTTCAAAAGGTGAGTCCTGTTAAATACCCACAACACTCCCTGATGTGGGTGGTGATGCTACTGTTGAGCCAGACTGAGAACGTAGCTGTGGGGTTACAGTGGGTCGAACCAGGGGCATGAGAGGCAATGGTGAGGAGAGACTTTTCCAGTCCATCTTCCTTCATCCCACCCTTCTGCATGTGAAAGTTACAGCAGGAAGAAGGATCATCTAGAACCTATGATTATATTTATCAAACTTCCCTTGTTGCCTGTGTCTCCTGTGGACACGCTACTGACTGTAAACCATGCAGGAGCACTTGTCTTAACAGGAATCTTAGCATCACATCTATGTTAGTGTAGCCATTAGGGGGTCTAGATGTGAGGACCCCAGGTCTTGTATATGGGACTCTGATTGCCTAAGTCCATGGGCAGGCCAAAATCAAGAGCAAGTGACTTGGATTATAAACCTGGATATTATTAATTTGAGAACCAATGTTAAATTTCACCCATATTGGACACTGTGATTTGAATGGGATAAGACTTATCCCAGAAGAAAAGTGTAGGAAAAAACAAACAGTTCTTATGGGAGAAATAATCTGTCTATAAATGACTGTACTTTCAACAAAAACAAGAAGGAAAGATCTAGAACAATACAAAAAAGAATAGAGAAGGCTATTTGCAGAAGGAGAAAAATAAGAATATATCTTGGATATCACACAACACATTGCATACGTAACATGCCCATGATTTCTAAGTTTCACAGTCTGACACCATTGAGAGTCTGACCAGACAGCTGTGTCACAGGTGTGGGGAGAATGTTGTACACTGTAGCAGGTGTGTCCAGCCCACAGCCCATGGGCCAACTGCATGTGTGTTGGTGACAGCTGTGAATGCAGCCCAACACATTTGCAGATGACAGTGTTACGTCTCAGTGTCAAAAGGTTGGACACCCCTGCCACAGTGTTCTGCAGCGTTCCCGACTCCGCCCAGTAGGTGGTGGCAGCATGCTTCAATTTGTGGCTCAACTGGGGATAATCCAGGTTCCGAAAGGCTGCCTCCACAGGTGTGCAAATGAGATGCACAAGAAAGAAAAAGGGCTGGGTGAGGTGCAGAAGAGGAATGCATGGATACGAGACTGCAGACGACTGATTGTCCTTCTGTGTATAGGGTGGTTGCTGTTCTCTGTACTCTGTTATACATGTTGTATAGCACTGATTTTCATTCATCTCACAGTTCCGTTTATGAATCACGGATTGAGGTGACTGACTTATAGCAGTGAGTTTGACAATTAAGATTCAGAGGGCAAAGCAACTTATTTATAAGTCAGGTCATATCAACAGGATTAGAAAGTGACCCAGGAGGGCAGTGTGGTGCTTTCTGGAGGAGATGGGGAGTCAGAACATGAGTGTGAGAGAGTGTGATGGAAGAATGTCTCACACCTTTGGCCTGAAAGCTCCCTGAAGCCACAGTTCTGTTCTTACCTTCCAAATGACAGTCTTCTTCCCCACGTTGGTCTCCTGCATCAGAGCCTCCTCCATTTCCTTCCTCACAAGTTCCAAAGCGGCTTGGAGCATCCTCTGTTGGGAAGACAACGCGGGATCACTGTAGATGCACCCTCTCGGGCCTTTAGTTTTCTTAGATGTAAAGTACAAAGGGCAGCCTGGGAGTCCCTCACTGACCTAACTCAGTACTCGCTAGATTCAGCCGACACCTTGTCTGGTGCCAGACACCAAGATGCGCCTGAAAGTTTCTCATTATGTCACTCTTTCCAATAGTAAAACAAAATGTTAAAATGTGAGGTGAAAAGTAACAATAGAATACAAATAAGGTGTTGTAGTATACTTAAAGGTTAGAAATACAATTATGAGGATAAATGGTTGCATTTTAATAAATAGCTGTATAAATATATACATGATACATAGTCGTATAAAATATAAAGCCAATTTGGAAAAAAAAAACCTATGATGTAGTAGAATTGCCATCTACAACTGACAGACTGAGGTATGATGATATTTCTTATTTATTACTTAAGAGTTTATTTCTTTTTACATTTTTTAGTGTGTGTGTGTGTGTATGCCCCCACAAGAGTGCCAGAGACACAAATTGAGGTCAGAGACTACTTACAGTAGCCAGCTATCCTTCCATCATGTGGGTTTAGGGATCAAACTCAGATTGCCATGTTGCCAGCAAGCGCCCCTGCCCAGGAGGGTGCAAGAGACACTACCTCCTTCCAGCAAGAGGACCCCGGGGAGGCGCGTGTGTGTGCTTGATTACAGTGAACACATACACAAATACGCTTTGGGAAGGAAAACATACGGGCCCCACCATAAAAGTTACTCAGTAAATCCTACATACACATGGTTCACGCTTGAATGGGGGTCACGATAGCGCTGTGTAGAACGTGCATATAAAACAGCCTTGGAAGTCGTGGTGGTTCCTGACCGACCAGGCTGCGGTGGGATTGGCTTTGCTGTTGGAACATTTTGCTCTGTCAGCCCAAAGAAAGCACGAGCCACACCACGGAGGCGACAAACAGCAGGGCAGGCCTGGGGACAGCAGTGACAGGGCGGATTCTGCGGGATCTGTGTTTGGTTAGGATAAGAGCCGGCACGCCTTAGGCAGCTGCCGCTGATTGGCTGGGAGGTCTAGAGGGTATTTGTTTGGCATTTAATTAAAGAAAAAAAAACAACCCCACCCCACATAATATTTATGGAAAACAGTATCAGAGACATCTCACTAGCCAAGCTCTGTGTGACGTTTTCAGGACGTAAGCAGGTAGGACCATAATTTTAAAATCTGATTTTAAAAAATACCCCATGCCTGAATTTTTATAAAATCAAGAGGAAGCAAGCGGTAAAATCATGAGGGATGTTTCCAACGAGTTGAGGCAAATACCCAGATTTTTAATTTTAGAGAAAACAAACTAGCAATCACCTTAAGAAAGCGAGTGCTCCTTACAACAGGGTGGTTAAGCTTGCCAACGGAAGGAAGACCACACTGTGGCATCCCTGGTAACGGTTGCTCAGAAAGTTGGAAAGTTAAATGTACTTAAAGCGTGTCGGGCAAATGTGGAGGAAGATAAGAGAGCAGCCTTTTGCGGTTGCGGTTGCCGGCATAATACACACTAAGGCTAGAAGCACTAGGGAGCCCCTCTTTATAGACAGGGCATGTGTGCTCTCGGCAGGGGGCGAGCCACCCGCTGCAGGAGGCCTGTTGTGATCAGAGGCTGGCTGGGCTTAGCAAAGGCCCTTCCCAGGGGCAAAAGCCACCGCAGCTTCGGGGAGTGTGGGCTAGTAAGGATGGGGAGGAGACCAGGGAAGGGAGGCGCTTGGGAGTTACTTAAGAGACTCGGTAGCATCTTTTGGATCTGCTTGGACTATGTCCCTTCACATTCCCAGCTCAGCCTGCCCCAGTGCCTTCCCATTTTCCACACGGGGACCTGAGCAGCGTCTCACCTGGTAGCGGCTGGCAGCCTCCTGCAGCGGTTCAGTGTGGTGGCTCCGGTGTTCGGGGCTAGTGTCACAGACCCAACATATCATCGTCTGGTCCTCCTCGCAGAAGCGGCTCAGGTCCTCGCCGTGCCGCGCGCACTGGCGCGTCCCGGGGTGTCCTGCACCCAACCCCAGCTGCCTCACGCTGTCCACCAGACTGGCCAGCTGCCGATTGGGCCTGAAGCTGGCGGGCCTGAAGGGACTCCTGCACTGGGGACAGGCGTAGACGCCGCCCTGAGCGCTGTCCGACTTCTCGCAAAACTCGGAGATGCACCGCAGGCAGAAGCTGTGGCCGCAATCCACACTTATGGGCTCCTGCAGGAAGTCCAGGCACACTGAGCACCGAGCCTCTTCTCGCAGCCGCTCCCCTGGCGCGGTGGCCATGGCCCTGGCCGGTGGCAGCAGCTCCTATTGCCCTAGCGGTCTGCACAGAAGGAAGGAAACCCATAAGCAGGGGAGCAGGCCCTGGGGGGGTGTTATCTCCTGGGCTGGCCCAGATCCAGCAGCCAAAAAGAACCACTCCTGGTGACAGCAACAAGACCAGTGACTGTCACTTCCTCAGAGACCCAGCAGCTCCTTTTCTATTCCTTCTTCCACCAGCTTTGTTTGATAAATATTAACATTTTATATAATGCAGCATTTACACCATCCTAACTGACATTAGAGGTGATTGAAGTTTGCACTGTTTTGTAGTGTGGATCGAACCCAGAGCCTCACGTAAGCCAGGCAAGCCCTACCACTGAGGAACAGCCCCAGTCCTCTTTTTTATCTTTTATTTTGGGACAGGGTTCTATTAAATTTGCCTAGGCTGGGTTTGAATTCACTCTGCAGTCCAGGCTGGTTTTGAACTCACTCTGCCATCCAGTCTGACTTTGAACGCTCTGTCTTCCTGGCTCAGCCCCCCCAATAGTCAGGACGATAGAAGTACATCAAGGTCAGCTGAGTTGCCCTGTTGTTGGTTGTTTTATTCACTCTTTTGCTCTTTGGGGGGCCTGCCACCCAGCTCCCAAATAAACCACACAGATCTTATTATTATATGAGTGCTTGGTCTTAGCTCGGCTTTTTCCCAGCCAGCTTTTCTTAAATTATCCCATCTACCTTTTGCCTCTGGGCTTTTACCTTTCTCTATTTCTGTATACCTTTTCTTTCCTTCTTATTCTGTGTCTGGCTGGGTGGTTGGCCCCTTCTTTTCTCATTCCTCGATCTCTCTTGCTTCCTGATCCTTCTTTTTCTCCTTCTATGTATTCTCTCTGCCTGCCAGCCCCGCCTATTCTTTCTCTTGTTTTGCTATTGACCGTCCAGTTCTTTATTAGACCAATCAGGTGTTTTAGACAGGCAAAGTAACACAGCTTCACAGAATTAAACAAATGCAACATAAAAGAATGCAACACATCTTTGCATCATTAAATAACTGTTCCACAGCATCAACAAATGTAACACATCTTAAAATAATAGTCTACATCTCCCACTTTTTGTCTAAATAAAAATGAAAGGTTTTAACTTTAACATAGTAAAACTACAGACAACAAAAATGGTTATCAAGTAAGAATTACATTTACAATATTCAGTCCATTTGTATTTATCACATTCAGAGAAAATACCACAGTATCTATCTTATCGTAGTGAGTCCAAAGTTTTATACCTAGCTTACTTTCTATCATAATAAGAAAAACTGAAACTCTAATTATTTAATCTTTAACTCCATCAAAGATCCCAGGAGTAATTAAAATTGCCTAACAACAGAGACATTTGCTTGCCTGGACAGTCACCCAAAGTTCCTCTGCAATGTTGGGGCATCCATCTCCAGCCTACAGGCCTAGAGTATCTGGCAGACTTTCAGTGAAGCAGGACATTTAAAGGACTGTCTCACCTTGTTTTGGCAAAGTTCAACAGTCACTTTCCTGTGGATCCTGTGGGTCCTGTGTGTCTAGCCTGCACAGCACATAGTCAAGCAGTCAAAGCAAAAGCAGTTTCTTGTCCAAATGGCTAATCTTACCACAATGAAGTAAATTGGTGCTCCCAGGAGCAGATGTGACTCATTGTCATGAAGAGTCCTAGGTTAACAAAACATTTTAAAGGTCATATTCTATAGGTCTCTGAAATGTTTGAAGACTATTTATTTATCTAAAATATATCTCTGTATGATCTTGAAAACATGCCTAACATATCTACACATTTGATTGTTATAAATGACTAACTACTCACCTGTGTTTCTTGATTATTCTAAATATTTTATAATAATAGCTTTCAAAAACTAGTATTTTAACCTTACATTTTTAAATAAACTACATAGGTATAATACCTTAAATAAGAGTAGAAACATACATACAGTATAACAAAAATAACTTTAAATTTGTATCAATATACTATATTCCCCTAAATGATAACAAACACCCATAATCCACCAAATAACCCAAAGCCTCCCACATCCCTCTTGGGAACGTGGGTGCCATGTTCTCCAAACTGCTTCCTGTTGTTTGTGGGCAAAGCATCTTTGGGGGGTTCCCAGGAAAATTGAGACAATGGCCAAGTCCTGGGAAGACCAGCAGTAACCTTTGTTGATATATATTTTGCCTGTCAAAATTCAGGAGGTCCCCCCTGATCAAACCTGATCCATCTCATTCCTGAAGGAATCTACAACCTCTTGTTTCCTGTGAGAACAAAAGCAAAAACTCTTCTCCAAAGTATTTTTGATTTCCACTTGACAAATATATTTTTTGAGTTCCATTTTAAAGTTAATGCATTCTTAAAATATTTAGGCTGGCTTATCACATCAGTCTCTCTTTCAGTCTGGTGTCTCTTAGCAGCTGTTATTTGCATATCAGCATTCAAAAAATTCAAAATTAACACAGTACTATATAGGATCCAGACTCCCTGTGTGTTTCCCGTCTTATGTGTTTTTTTCTTTTATATTACTTTCACTCTCTCTTTAAAGACTTTATTATTATTTTAAACCATTTATTTCTTTCTATGACTGTCTATACCCATATTCTTTCTTTCTTAAGCCTATGCACATTGTAAAACACACTGGAACCTGTTTAGAGGTTTTTTTCTGTCTGGGCCTCTTTTACTGTGTTTCTCCAGTTTTTCTAACTGTATGAGCAAACTTCAAACTGCTAAGCTACATCTGGATCCTCTGAATGGCTCTCGCTGGCTCTGCCTGCTCTCAGGCCATGAAATCCAAGCCTACAGCTTGTGGCTGGTTGGAGGTACATGCCCAGGAATTGCATTCAACCTTCCTAGAGCTCTAGAATGCCAATGCTTGCACTGCCACAGAACAAAAAACTAAGTAAAAGCCAAGTTTTTGTTCCTACTTAACATATTGGCTGTATATGGGCTCACCGGCAGGCAGAAACTCTTAAAGGAGACATATCCTCTTTTTTTTTTTTTTTTTTTTTTTTTTTAAGCTTTCTCAGGCACTATGGAAATTCGAGTCTCATGTTAGTATGCCAAAATGTTGTTGGTTCTTTTTTTTAACTCTTTTGGATCTTTGGCAGACCCTCAAAGAGCAAAAGAGCCCAAAGAGTAAAAAAACAACCAACAACATTTCCCTTCCACCCAAAACAATATTTAAAGCTCACAAGATGGCAAAGATGCTCATCTGCTGACCTTAGTTTGATCCCCCAGACTCACACAATGAAAGAAGACCACTGACTAATAAGAGTTGTCTTCTGGCCTCCATGGGTGGGCTGAAGCACCCCCCCCCACACACACACACACAAATGAACTCTAAATTTAAAATGAACAGGAGCTTTAAATTTAAAATTACAGAGTTTCTTGAATATGTGGACTCAGCACCTAGCTCTCAAGTCTGTCAGCTCATAACATTACACGTGAAGCTGGTTGGGGTCTTAGGCCTCATAATAGGGCAAATTCAGAAGTGAGCCTGTCTCTTAAGAGTCCCTCACGCCAGTGTGGAGAACACCTGCTCTCCTTCTTCCCACAACTTACTGAATGGCACCATGGACTTTTCCTGCTGTAATCACTAAAAAAACAAAACAACAACAACAACAAAAAAACTTACACAAAATACTCATTTTCCCCCTTAGTCTTTCTTTCTCTAAACTTGAGATTTTTCTGCTTTCAGAAATAAACTACCACTTCAAGGGAAGATGCGTGGAATGATGTGGATGGTAATGACTGGGGGGTGGCCCAGCACGGATGAGAACAGTATAACAAGTGCCCTCCCGCCCGAGGAGGCCAGAAGAGGGCATAGAATCCCCTGGAGCTAGAGTTACAGGTGCTTGCGAGCCACCTGACATGGGTGCCGGGAACAGAACTCATGTCCTCTGCAAGAGCAGCAAGCCCTCTTGACCACGGAGCCAGCTCTTCAGCCTCTGGAATGAACAAGTCCAGCCCGTGAAAACTGCACCCATTGAATGGGAAAGGCTGAGGCTTGGAATAAAGTAATTTTGTAGAGGGTGTGTTGTGACTCAGTCCCAAGAGGAGGCAGGGCCAGGGTGAGCATGGTGAGGTGCTTAATGTCTGTCCTCTGAGCACTCCTGACTCTGCCGGGGGTCTGTTTGTTTGGTGGCTGGCATGCTTCTGCCACGTTCATCCATATATCCTGTCCCCAGCATGGGTGTATTTGTTGGGAGTCTCAGAGGCCGAGCTGGGTACTAAGGCACAAAGAGAAGGCTGAAAATTGGACCTCATTCCTTCGGGAGCTTTGTGCTCAGCTGGTGGAGACCAACTCAGACTCAGGGTAACAAGGGCAAGTACTGACTAAGAGAAATGCCCCTTACCGGGTCTGTGGGAGCATAGCACAGCACTCTAACATGAAGCCCCGGTGGCTGGAGCTCAAAGGCCTCCGAGCTAAGACAGGAAAGGCGAGGACAAGCTGGCACAGAGAAAGCCCCTGTTCCAGGCTGTGTGGCCCCAAAGTGTCCTGGGCAGAGGGGCTGGCCATGTCCAGATGGCTAAGAAGTCTCTGGGAAGGCTGACCCTGGCAAACGGTAGCAGATAAGCTTGCAAGGAGTGGGCAGGCTGGTGACTCAGGACCTGGCAGCTGAGCTTTATTATGAGATAAATCTTGGCTTGGGGCTTTAGTGGGGCAAAGTGTCAAAGTGCTCTTGAGGCCATCTGTCTCAGGGTTAAGTGGATAATTGAAGCAGATTCTTCAGAGCTAAATACAAAAGACATTCAAGATGTGACATCAGAGAAGAAAGCAGGAGCAGAAGGCTTAGGGGGAGCAAAGTAGATCCTGGCTACAAACCGAATAGTTTGGGGCAGACTGTGCCTGTGTCCTGGTGCTGTGTTTCATCTCACATCCAAGGATGATGGTGTTAAAGTCTCTCTAAGGTTCTTCAGAGTGTTAAATAGGTACCACATGCTTAATAGAGGTTTGCCATATAGCAACTACATGTAATTGAAGAAAAATAAAAGAAATTGCAATAATGAAGAGAAGGATGAATTAGAGTCTAGCCGTGTTAGTCCTGGGAGGTTTCGCATCAACTTCTTT